CTACTACTACTACTACTACTACAAACAAGCCGTGCCTCCAGAATCGAAAACTAAATCAGTACTATGTACTTACTGGATAGGAAACTATTTGGTTCGAGGTCATGACGCGGTCCTATCCCAGTTGGCTTTTTAGCTCAATTGAGAGAGCGCTGCACTAGTATCGCAGAGGTCAGTGGTTCGAATCCCGTAAAGGCATGATTTTTTTCAGGTCTGATTTTCGCTATTGCATAAATAGAGCTCTCTACTGCGAGGATCATGCATCATACGTATCTACAACCGCAGTTCAAAATATATGAACTTCATATATTCATTGTATCTGATTTATCATCATGGGTTTATTACGAATGCTACTGCTACTGCTACTGCTACTGCTACTGCTACTGCTACTGCTACTGCTACTGCTACTACTACTACTACTACTACTACTCCTACTACTAGGCCTTCACTTCAGGGCCTTCACTGCAACTGAATGTGTAGAAAGCCAGTGGGCCATTCATTATAATCACCAGAGTACAACAGACCTTAGTGTCCAGGAACTGATTTCATGTTCTCGGTCAAAAGGATGTTCAGGTGGCAGTACCTTTCTAGCCCTTAATTGGTTACAAACAGAGGTAAATGGTAACAATTAGGACTTTAACCCTAACATTAGTAATTTGCATATTCTCCATACCAATCTCTATACATTTGCTATGATATTTACAAGGTGAATTTGTTTGACAATTTAGTTAGTGATCATTTGCTATATTCTCACGAACATAATTCTTGATTCAATAGTGATACAGTAAGGAGACGTAAGATGCCAATCACTCTCAAAAGTAAAAGTAAACCCTAATTTGGGAAATGCAGTAAGCTGACTATTTGGTTAGCACTGCGGGCTGCAATGTCCAAAGCTGGGTTATTAGATAACCTGCCTCCCAGTTAGCTCAATTGGTTAGAGCGCCGGATTGTGTTGTGCAGGAGGTCAAGGGTTCAAGCCCTGGCTGGACCAATACTCATGGTCTTAAAATAACTGAGGAGAATTCACTACCTTTTTATAACTTCAAGGAATGGATAGATATTCTAGTCTTCTCAGATAAGGACGAATAAACCTTAGGCCCTGTCTCCTGCAGGGTTAGGGGTAGGAGACGCTAATTTCCCACGCACGAGATTACTGTGTGGTGGATGTCCTCCCCTCGGGTGGGATGGGCAGGAAGGTGAGATCGTTACATGGACTGAAGTGGCTACCAGAGGTGCCTGATAATGCTGATATCCGATCTCGACCTTATCATTGTAACTAGACACGTTAGTTGTTTAGAGTGCTTAAAGAATTTGACTTTGACTTTGATAACCCAGGGTTAGTGTGAAATCTGATTTCAGATCTGAAAGCTATATGTATATACTGTTACCTACATGTTTTATGCTATTTAACTATTATCTTTCCTTTCAGAATTACACACTTGCTCCAGCTAAAGAATTCCCTTATGTGGATAAAGAAACAACTTGTAAACGCAATCTTTTGTAAGTACTGTTGTTGCAGAAAACTCTTTTTAAATACTTATGGACTTAAGTCTCCAATCATGAGCAAAAGGGAGAAAATCGAGTCTCACTAGGCTTGTGTCCAATTGTCCATCAGGTCCTGTCAGTGTCGGCTGGTAACAAAATTTTCCACTCATGATGTATCCCTCAGGCCTTAAATGTGTTTAGGTGCCATATTGAAAAAAATAATCATCCAAAACTTAAGCTTGATTGATATATATTGGTTGCTTGTCTATTTTTGGTTGATCAAGGAGAAGTGTTTCAAGTGATAAAATCATGAAATTAATGGAAATTTCTTTAAGAAAATGGTCTCCGGCATAGTATTTCATCCTAGATAATGTGTCAAGCATCAAGATGTTCAGACATCAAAACTCAATTTGTAATTAGTATCTCTTGATGCTCATTTTATGTAGGACTGAAAAGGGAGTGAGGATAAGATGCGGGTGTTAGGTGCAGATGTAAGTATACTGGTGTATATTGTGTGCAACCTTAATTTTTTTTTTCAACAAATGTCTTGCACTTTGAAAATCAGATCCAATATTTTGGATCTAAAGCAGAACCCGAGCTTCTCAGTATGTTGTTATTGTTATTATTATTATTATTATTATTATTATTAAACACAACGAATATATGAAACTCATATCTCTGAACTGCGGTTATACAAACGTATTTGTGCACGATCCTCGCAGTAAAGAGCACTATTTAAGCAATAGTGAAAATCAGACCTGAAATATTCAAGCCTGTACGGGATTCGAACCACTGACCTCTGCGATACTAGTGCAGCGCTCTACCAATTGAGCTAACAAGCCAACTGGGAACAGGTCATCAATTGGTAGAGCGCTGCATTAGTATCGCAGAGGTCAGTGGTTCGAATCCCGTACAGGCCTGAATTTTTTCAGGTCTGATTTCACTATTGCTTAAATAGTGCTCTTTACTGCGTGGATCGTGCACAAATATGTTTCTATAACTGCACTTCATATATTCAGTTCGTTTTGTTTGATTTATCATCTTACGGGTTTATCTCGGACTAATTTGATGACCTGCTCCCAGTTGGCCTGTTAGAAATTATTACTATTACTATTACTATTATTATGTCGCAGAGAAATCAACTGAATGCTACATTCTAATCAGGCAGCACAGGGCGAAAACCGTAACCTGTGCGCCATGGAGTAAAAAATAAATGTACATTAACTAATCCTAAAAAGCTTTTCCGTTGTGTCTACGGTCCTCCTTCTAACAGGAATTCAAACTGCCACCTTGAAAGTCCGGGCAATATTCAGCGTGCCCGAGAGCACTGCTCTCTGCATCTTTCGCAGTACGTCTGTGCTTCTGC